GAGAGAGAGAGAGAGAGAGAGAGAGAATATGATAAAAATAAATAGTGATAATTTATATAATTTATACAATCACTGATAAATGGTGTTAATTGTGTTATGAGTTTAGCTTTTTCCAATAAATTCATATCTAATGCTATGTTTTAGTTTAAATTTTACTCTCTTTATTTGTTTGCAGTTTTTTTGACAAATATTTCAATAAATGGATTAATTTAATTTCAAATATATTTAAAATAAAATAATTAATAAATAGTCAGATAAACATTACCTCAATCGTAAACTGTCCATAAAAAAGATTTTTAAACAAATAATAATTTTGTTTGTTTAGGATAAATTATATTTTACAGTTAATGTTATACTGTTTGAAATAATACAAAAATTGCAAAACAAAGATGTCTAATTTAGTCCATAATTAAAAGTTAAATTTAACTTAATTATATAAATTAGTTATTCTTAACTGTGTTACAGTTGGTTGATATTGTTTATATAGTTATACATTTAAATGAAATTTTTTTAAAGTAATGTTGAGAGAGAGAGAGAGAGAGAAACATACTTAACACAATTCACCCTGATGCCTCGGGGGCCCAACTCGGCGGCCATACACTTCGTAAACATATCGACGCCAGCCTTAGACACACAATACGGCGAGTCTCTGACGCCCTAAATATAAAAATAACAAAAAACATAATTAAAATAAAAACAAACAAACAAACGCTAACATACCGATTGCATAGATCTAATACTGGACACATTGACAATAGTGCCCTGGGTCTTTTCCAGATGCTCGGCGCACAGATGAGTCATATACACCACCGACTCTAGATTTGTCGTAACAAACCCCTTAAATGTGTCCATAAACTCGGACTCGCCCACCCCACCCCTGGCCACACCACCGGCGCAATTGACCAGGATGTCCAGCCGGCCAAACATCATGATTGTTTGCTCGACCAGCGCTCGCATAGCGGCCCCATCGCAGAGATCGGCCGCCATTTCCAACACTTTAGTGCCGGCTGTACGACACTCACCGGCAGTTGACAGTAGGCCCTCATCGACGACCAACCCTGTGATTACCAGACCCTCGGCTCCCGATTTGGCCAGCATTTTGGCTGTGGCCGCGCCGATACCCGAGCTCGACCCGGTCACCAAGGCCACTTTGCCTTTGAAATTGAATGTACAACTCATTTTTAATAATTTTTGTTTATATTAGTAATATTTTGTCTAGCTGGCTTTTTAAAACTATTTAGAAACAAACATTAGATATTTTATATTAAATTTGTTTTGTTACTAGCCGAGTAAAAATGCTTGTGATTATGCTTGGTCATTTTATATGACAGAATTCAAGGTTTTGTAAGTATCATGAATTGCTTTTATTTTGATGTAAAACTAATATTAATTTCTAACTATTTATCTATGTCAATAATGTTTTATGTAATTAAAAAAAACCTTTTTCAAAATAATATAAATATTACATGTATATCATTTATATATTTAAAATAAATTGCACAATTTAAAACCAAGTTTTACATTTGATATTAAATTTTAATTTATCAAATATTTTATTAAAATAAATATAAATTTGTAAATTATAATTTTTTGCATTATAACTTATAATTTATAAGAAACATTATGTGCATGACATAAATTTTGTGCATAACTATTTTATTTTTCGAATGTACATTTAAATTAATTTTAATTATAATAACTAATTTTTGCAATTTATTTTACTACATGAGTTTTATTTGCTATGGGTTTTCATAATTTAAACTTTTAATTAAACTTTTAATTAAACTTTGTTGATTTATTGAAATGTTGATGATCATTGTATTTGCTATTATACAGTAAAATGAAATTTATATGTAGTAAAATGAAATTGTTTGATAATTACGAGAAATGCAACTAAATTTAAAATAAAACAATTAAAAAAATTAATTCCAATCCATTTAAACAATTAATTAAAAAATTAATGGTTTATTTACATATTGATTATTAAACCCTAAATTGTAATACATTAGAGATAATAAAATTTATTCCAAAACTCTAGAAATAATATTTGTTACATGTGTTAAAAGCAAAGTTTTAAATATAAAAATATTGTCATAAAATTAATAATTGTTCAATTAACTAAAAACTTTATTAACATTTAATAGAGTTAAAATATGGATACAAACAGTTATAAATAGTAAATTAACAATTAAATAAATATACGTGATAATAGATTTTTAATTATGTAAAATCTATTGATAATTAATAATTTTTTAAAATTTTAAATATCTTTAAATAAACAAATATTTTTGTATGTATTTTAACAATATAATAACCTAACTATAGTATTAACAAATGACTCTTTTATAATTTCTACAAATCCAAAATAGATCAATTATTTTTATCATTTTGAAGCTACATAAACATAATTTACTTTCCATATGACACAGTAAATATATCTGTTAAACAATTAATATAAATTAGTTTAAACTAATTGTTCGATTAATAGTTAGTTTTACCAAATCATCAAGGTTTTTCTTAATTGTCCAGGTGTGATGTGAGAGTTTGTTAATGTAAAAATAAAAAGTTGCACATATTTTTGAAACTGTAAAACTTCAACTTACATTTTGTGTACCTTTCTTTGAGTATGAACAAATTATTGTAAAGTTATAATATAATATGTGCAAAATAGATTATAAGTGGTAAATAAATTTTGAAAATATATATAATACATAAAAATGTAGATTTAGATTAATTTTTGAAAAGAGACAATAAAAATATATTAAATTATGTGTACATGTTAATTTTTTAAGAACCTTTAAAATTTTTGTTTAAAACTGCAATAATAATAATGTTGGTCAAAGAAATATTAAAGCAAACACTTGCTAGATTAAATTGGTTAGTCTAATTATATTGTTAGTTATTATTATTTAATCAAGAATTCTATAAACAACAATATATTCTTGATAAAATAATGGCAATAAATTTTTGATGAAATAATTATTTAAAAATAAATTCTTGATTAGATAGCAATAATTTAAAATATTTTTGTGATTAAATAGTAATAATTAGAAGTCTAGTGTTGATTAAAGATCAAAAATTTAAAAAAAGATTCTTGGTTAAATAGTAATAATTCAAATATATGGGTGATTAAATTATAGTGATTAATAGTATTAAATATATTCTTGATTGAATAATAATAATCTTGAATATATAAAGACAGAAAAAAGTAATAATCACAAAAGGCTTTAGACGAGTTTGTTTGCAATGTTTCAACAAAGTAAAACTAATTAAAATTAATAGATTAAAATAAAATAAAGTCTTTACATAATACTATAACTAAATTACTAAACATTATAATAATCAAAAAAATCTTAATCTTAAATTAATTGCATTGTCAACGCTTTGCAACTCCCACTTCAAGCTTATATGAGTTAATAATAACCCGACCCCTAGTGAACACTGCGGGCACATCAGTGTTGGGCAAACGGTAGAAACGGAACTGTCGGACCAGTTTGACCATGGCTAATTTGATCTCGAGCAGTGCGAAACGCATACCAATGCAATTACGGGGTCCGACACCAAATGGCAGGTATGTATAGGGTTTGAGGTTATGGCGATTCTCGGGCAAAAATCGCTCGGGTTTGAAGCACTCGGGGTCGGGATAGTTGTCCGGGTCGTGGTGTATGGCATAGACCGGTATCTCAACATTCATACCCTTCTCAATCTTAAACTTGGATCCATCGGTATCATTGGTCAGCACCACGTCCTCCATGGCCTCACGCACTAGACTCAAGGCCGGCGTGTATTTGCGCAACGTTTCCGACACCACGGCGTCCACGAGTGGCAGCCGTAAAAGGCTCTCGTAGTCAATGTCACCGGTGCTGTCGTTAAACGCCGGCGCCGTCTCCGCCACCAACAGGTCCTGTATATCGGGATTGAGTGCCAACTCGTAGACCAAATAGGACAGAGTGATTGCCGTCCCCTCGACGCCGGCCAGAAAAAACATCACCGACTGAGCGACCACTTCGTCGTCGGTCAGCCGCCGCTCCACGACTCCGCTCAGCGCCTGTTTCTCAGCCATCAGTTGGTCAGAGTCGGCGCCCGTAGTCGTGGACGGGATGCTGTCTTCTCTCTTGACGTCCATAAAGTACTGTAAGATATCGTTGTGTTTTTTGCCCGACTTTTTGCGCTCAGAGATTAACCGTTGGGAGAGACCGATGAAGAAGACTATATTTGTTAACCCTATGGTTACCAAACATTTAGTCAACCGATTGTTGAATAGAAAAGCGGGTAATAATGTGTTCAATAGGTTGGCCGCAGACGAGCCAAACATATTCAATATGCGGTTGGCTTTTGTAGTGAACGGATTGTTTGGGTCGCTATAGGAGTTGGTTTTGATAGAGAAGGCGCAGCTGGCGATCACGTCCATAGTGTAGGCGCACATCAATCGTTTCAACTCTACGGCCGACTTACCGGCGCTGACGTCCCGCTCGAGTGCGGCCAAGAAGTCGCCGCAACACGAGTTGATTAGTGGATACATGTGCTTGAGTTTAGCCGATGTGAAGGTAGGGCTGGCTATGGCGCGGATCCGTTTCCAGTGGCCGTCCCGAGTGCTGAACAGGTTTGACGACATGATTTGACTCACTTTCTTGAAGTCCCGGTTCCGGAATTTGTTAAAGTCTTTCACCAGTATTTGTCGGACGAGCGCCGGGTCCGCCACCATTGGCACCGGTTGTCCGCAGTTGTATTTACTACACGTTATGTATTACACGAATATAATTGTTTTTTTTAAAAATAATTGTGCTTTAATTGTAACTTTAATTTGCAAATAATTACCCGTAGAGTCGGCCGTATGTGTTATACCACTCCATCTCGACGAATGGTCTGGGCTTTAGGAATGGGCTTAAAGTGTTGCCAAAATATGGTATGGGTTTCGGACCCGGGATACCACGCGAGGACCAATAATTGAATTTTTGACACCATTTGCTATAATGATATGCAATATCAATACATATATAATTTGAACATACAATGTAGTATGCAAAATTTTATTTTAAATACAAATAATATTTGATTTGTAATAATTTTTTTTTTGCTGAATATAAATAGTATCTAACCATTATTATGTTAAGCATTCGTCTTATTAATTATAAAGGTAGAAAAATTTTAAAAAAGAATCTGTTGCTTCATATCTATCGTAGTGTAATCTAATATTTTGTTTCTTTATAATTATTTGTATAATGCATAATATGAAATATTTTGAACACTTGTTTAAAAAAGGAAAATACATTTTAAAAAACTGCAATGTAAGATTATATTCCAAACAAACTGTACACTATTATGATATATACTAAACTCAATTCTCTCTTATATCACATTCAATAAGTTTACACTCTCCCTAATTTCACATAAAATTTTAGTCCCATCTTGGATTATTAAGATTGGATATTTTTAGAAATATTGTAACACTAATAACATTACAAAATAATTACAGGTTATGTAAACTGAAAAGCAGTTTTTGTTATTAAATTAACAAATTAATTATGATTAATATTGAAATAAATATTTTTATAGTTTTTTCACAGAAAACACATTTTTGCTAACTTTAAAACAAATTAATCTGATATATTTTAAGCCTATTATAATCCATAAAAGTATTCTTATGTTATTTACGGTATTTATAAATTTATTTTATTTGGCAATTGCCGTGAAAATGACACTTTAATTATAATTGCAATAATTATTAATTTATCTGTTTTAAAAATATCTACAAAATTTAATGCTTTATTTGTAGCAGTTTATGTAGCTTAAATGGTTTAACATGTTTATTTATCAGATTTTCAAAATAAATAAATTATGCAAAAAAGGTTAAAAATTTCAGAACTTAATAAAATAAAAAACTGTTTTAATTAGACTTGAGTTACATAATGTTTCAGTTTAATGTTGGTATAATTATCAAACAACAAAATTATATACATTACTTTTATATATAAAAACTTAAGCAAATAGTTGATCAGATTAAAGTAAAAATTTAAATAAAAGATTTTGATATTTATAAATACAATATTTATTAATATTGTTACCGTATTACCCCGCTTATAGGTGCATGCACCTATAAGTGAGTTTTCACACAAGAGGTGCACCTATATCCGGATATAAGTGCGGTGGTTTTTGGAACGTTTTTGACTTTCAATTNCTATAAGTGAATTTCACAGATTTTGCATGTCACCAAAACTACCGCACCTATATCCGGATATAAGTGCACCCCTTGTGTAAAAATCACATATAAGTGCGTCAATATTTATTTGTCAAAATTATTTATAAAAATTCAATAAATTAGTGCATAAATGATACATTATTTAATAATTTAAAGTAAATCTTCAAATTCTTTGGGAACTACATCCCACTCCATCTGATCGTCGGCCGTTGCATAGTCGACGATAACTTCAGACTCATTTTAGAGGACATGTTCATTATATGAGATATTTTACACTCATGTACTCATTATTCATAAAACTTACCAATAGATAAGAAAATACATGTACATTCCAAACACTTAAAGGCAGATTTTAGAGTTCAAAGTTTGATAACAAGTCATACGATAATCGTTTCAAGATATATGTAAATTTCAATTGAAAGTCAAAAACGTTCCAAAAACCACCGCACTTATATCCGGATATAGGTGCACCTCTTGTGTGAAAACTCACATATAGGTGCATGCACCTATAAGCGGGGTAATACGGTAATATAATGGAATGGTTAGAGTAATGTTTTAAATAACTTACAAATAATTGTACGTGATCAAAAGACATACAATAGGCGCTGCCAAATACCAGAGGTATGGTGTGTTAAAAGGCATAACAAATACAGATAATACTTGTATTATTGCCATCACTTGTATTATTCATAAAACAGTTTAAATTGAAAAACTTGTAATTTAAATATAATCTGTCTGTTAATTATTTGCTTAAATACTAATATCTGAAGGTAACAAAAAATTTAATAATTTGCCTTGGTCACTATAATACATCACTGATGTAAAGTACTTTACTTTCATTGTTTGTACAGAACTATGAATTGGATAAAATTAATACTAAAAAAATTATCTTTATGTTATTTTTGCATAAATCTTTATAATGACATGGATATTTAATAATATTAATATTAATCATTTAATAAGAATATTTTAAAATAGTTATAGACTATTAGTATTGTCTAGAATACATCTTAAACACATGTATAAGTTATATAATATAATAAACTCGGGGCAACATTTAAACATTAATTTAAATAGTTGCCTTATAATTAAGTATAAACTTAAGTGTACGCCGGCCAATGTTCTCCGTGAACAATGTAGTTCATGTACTGTAAAACAAGCTACTTATTCATTTATCTAAAAATTTACCTAGTCACTAACAAACTTGTGTAACTTTTGTATTACTTAATTATGAATTGCATAAAATATATCCTTTAGTTTTTTTAATAGCATGGAAAACTACTATTGCAATATCATCAGGATTATTCTGGATAATTACTAATGTAAAACACTTTAAATACTACTTTAAATAATTAAAATTTATTGATATTTCAAATTATATTATTTATTCATTTTAAATATTAAGTTGAATATTTTACTTTTATTATTTAAAGATTACACAAAATGATTATCATGATCATTATGGGTAAACTCCCATTATATGCAATAAATTCTATCTAGACAAAACAGCCCTGTTAGTGCAGCCACACAATATTATTTTTCAATGCATGCACTTCCAATACGGACATTTCATGATAAACTTTTCAACGTTGGTCTATGTAAATATTGCATCGCATTTGTCTAGCCAGACATTACATAGTGAAAGTGAATTATGATTTGCATAAAATATATTTTCACCTTAATCTTTTTATATTATCTTAAATGGTGTTGACAACTTTATAAGCACAATTCTATGCAAACAATCTAGTTTCCTTATTAAATTTCTAAAAATGCAAAAAAATAATATATTTGATAATCACTATAAACATAATGTGTTTTTATTATATGCAATATAACGTGAATTAATTAACTTGTACAATATATTACATAAAATAAATTTTTATTTATAAGGAATTACTATGATAAAATTATTAGAAATATTCTGGTAACCAGAATCTGGTTAATGTTAACGTAGTTCACATTTGCAAATGTAACATTAATGCTTGTGTATTTGCATAATGGACCTTATTCATTTGATGTGAAAAAATAATTTTTAAAATCAATTCCAATGATCTTTTAATAATTGTCTGTATTTAATATTTAATAAACGTGTTTCAATTTAATATTATTAATTAATTTAAAATTAATTAACACATTTAAGTTTAAGTTGCACATTTAACATTAAGCTGTCATTAATTTAATTATTTATTAAAATTTAAAAAATACATAGGTTTTCGTTTAATTTACAACAATTATCTAATTTTAATAACATTAAAAAATTGTTTAAAATACGTTCATTTAATAGTACAAAATTAACTCCCAATAGTTATAGTTATAATTGTAATAATCATTAAAACAAATTATTATAAATAAATTAAGATTATTAATTGATGTGAACAATTTATTATTTTATCAAATTTTATTATTAATATTATTTATTAATAATATAAGTAAACATATTAAAATTTTTATTTTAAAATTGCGCTTGTCAATATGTAATGTTAGCAACATAACTAATTGAATTAAATGTCCACAAGAAAATTATATACAGTTTAAATTAATTAATATAATTTATCATATAGCAACAAGTTTTTGTTTTTATAATAATTTTATGTAATGTTTAAAGTATTATTGTTTAACTGTAATTAGTTAATTGTAAAAGAGGTGCAGTATTTACAAACATTTCAATATAAAAATTAATTTTATTAAAAATACTTATTGAGTTTGAGTTTGATTAAATGGTAGTGTCTCAAAGCTGCCCTGATAAACAATTTTTTGCAAACATACTTTGTAAATAAATTATTATCACCCTCACTAATAGTGTTTATAATAAATAATTTATAATTAAACAATTAAACTTTAACATTTTTAAACATTCTGATAACAACTTAATTTTATATTATTATAATGTTTTTAAATAATAGATTTATTTGTCAACATATACAGTAGACATTCGGTTTTGACAGGCGCGATTTTAACAGAATTCGGTTTTAACATAACATTTTGTTAGCACCGACGAGCGATATTAGTACTGTTAAAGTAACCGATTTTGACAGAATTCGATTTTAACACACATTTTTAGCAGCACCGTAAAAGTGTCAAAACCGAATGTCTACTGTAATTTAAAAACATTTATTAGTTTGTTGTGTAAATATTATAATTATAAATAAATCTACCAGTATAAATTTATTTTTATCAATATAAAATAAAAAGCATGATAATATATATAAAAAACATTCACCCGAATGTCATTGTAATAAAATTATTGCAACTAAATATAAGCAATCTAGATGACTAATAATAAGGTTATATAATAATAATAAAATATATTAAATACAAGTATATTAAATAAAATTGCATGCCAAAAATCAGACTATAATATACTGATAATATTAGCTATAAAAACAATTATGAGTATTTACATAAAATATAATGTATATGTACACATTTATTTGCTATCCCATAGGTATATAATAAATGAAAATGCAATATAATTATTTAAATTATAACTTTCGAAATTACAAAACAAAAATACTTTTAGAAGTATTTATATAATATAAGCATGAATATATTATTAACATGTTACAGCGAATTATTATTATTTATCATATGTGGATTTTTCTATTTGTACATGGGCTCAATTGTGGACAAAAACAATAATATATTTGACCACGATGCAACACTGACAAATGGACTAGATGGGCAAACTACGTTAAACTATACAAGATCAATTAACAACAAAGGCAACTTAACTGTATTAATAACAAATATTGTAATGAAACTGGTTAAATCAATGCATATTTAAGCAAAATGTATCAGTGCCACTATTGTTTGTATATATTTTAATAATAAGTATCAAAATAATAAAAATTATTTTACAATGTAAATTTTTATAATTTTATTGTTATATGATATAACACATGTAAATTGCTTAAGTTTATTGTAAATCTATTAAATTTATTAAAAGCACAAACGAGCATTATTTATTGTTATTTTCATCCACGTTTGCATGCATTAAATTCTTACAAGATGCTTTAAACAAATATGTATTAACAAAAAAGTTTACAAACATTACTATAAATAGCAAATACAGTGTAACCCCGGCTTTGGCCACATGTAGCGACACATCGCACGGCTGGCCATTGAGTTTCCTATTCATTGCCACATAATTAATGTAAAATCCGGCAAACATTTGGACGATCTGTAGGCTTGTTATGCATACGCTTAGGCGCCGGGATAGCCGCCAACCACAGGCCATACACGCATAGTATGTATACATTAATGAATGTACGCCATAATTCATCGTAACCATATAATTAGTAGTAGCCGGGTATTCACTTGTACTATACCAACAGTATATCAGAGTTAGACAATGATGTACCCAATGGAGGTGAATTAATTTGCGTTCACGTAGCAAAATAAACGTGGTATCGATAAGCTCGGGCACTTTTGACCAGACAAACAAATAGCACCACCAAAGTACCCTGATGTCTCGATAGAAATCAGCCTGACATACTGTGGCAGTAAATCCTTTGGTAGAATACAAGTACCAGAAATATGGTGCCCAACGTATAAAACCCATGATGGAAAATACTGCCAGAGTTGCGTTCCATAGGATTAACATTGCCCGTAGTTTGTATGGCCGACCGCGTTGTTGTATCCATAGTTTTAACGTAAGTATTAGTAGCAGATATGCCATTGATATGTATATTGAATAATGCCATTTATTTAACATAAATTGTTGTAAGTAATCCATGTTAACTGTATTGAACACCCAGTGCTCCCATTCGTTCAGCACCGGTATGTATGTGACAGCCGTGTATTGCGGCCACAATTTTGACCATTTGCTATTTATTTCGGTATTATTATTAATGATGTTATTATAGTAGTTGTAGCGAACATCCATGATCATTTATTATTAATATTTTAAGTAAATTATTAATTTTTAATACTTATTAATATAATATTACTATTAATAAATTAAGTGATGATTTAATGTTATAGAAAAAGTTTTATGTTAACAACAACAATATAACGATAAAATATTTTTGCACTTGATACAATAATAGATTCTAAATTCTTTATATATCTTACTAACCATAAAAATAAAGTTGATTGATTTTACATTTTTAAAGGCACAAAAATCCAGTGCCAGTCAATTAATCAGTAAATATTAATTCAATATTCACTAAATTAAATTTAAAATATTCGTAACCCTAAATAACTAACCATAACCTGTTTGTTGACCATGGTGAATAAATCAAGTACAACTGTAATGTCTTTAGATAAATTAGATACATTGATGATCTTTTATACGATTTACTAACCTTGACTATCTAGACATATATTGGATGGTGATTGATTAAGATAATATTATACGTCAATACATTTTATAAAGTTTTAAATCTTAAGCATTAATTTATTAATTGAAAAAACATACTGATTAAAGTATGCAATTAACACAAAACTACTTAATTTAGTATTTTAATAAAGTTAAAATATACTGCATTATAAAGTGGTCATGAAAAAATTGGTTATAAAAAATATTTTATCGTTATATTGTTGTTGTTAACATAAAACTTTTTCTATAACATTAAATCATCACTTAATTTATTAATAGTAATATTATATTAATA